TAATTTCTGAATATTTTTGAATTATTCAAATTGGACTGAAATACCGAAATACCGAAACATCGTAGCACGTATTTACGTTATTTGCAACAGTTTCCATTTCACTTTTAAATTAGCGGTGAAATATTTTATCGAATGTACGTCACATTCATCGAATACACAGAATTTGCAATAAAATCCAATTTTACGATAAAATTTGGTCTTTTTAACGCAGCTATAAATAAAAAACAGCAGCTTTTAAGTGTTATCTCTCTCTCTCTCTCTCTTTCTCTGTATAGTTGAGTTTGGACGAATATTAAAGTAACGTTATGAATTTAATTATGACGCGTTTTCGATATTTCCTCGTAATCAGCTGATTTTATATCGTATTTTCTTAGAAACACATCGATCGTCACCACACGTGTTTCATGAACTTATAAAGAACTGTTACTCAATCTTCTATCGTTTAAAATTACATATTGACTTGCACATTTTATATCTTCCAACAAACACTTTACTCGGTCAATCGTATTTCTTACCTTTCTTCGTTCGATTTATATAATTTGATTCTCTTCGCCGACATCGTGATTATGAAAAAGAACTTCAAGGACCGACTTCGTATCCTTCTTCGTATGCTTTTTTCGGATACAACTTACAGCTTTATCCGAGTTTCAAATATCGAAACAACTATAGAGCATTGTAATAACTAGACTGCTGTACGTTCATCGCGTCGTTACATTTGATATTGAAAGAAAAAAGGAATTGATACTTGTCTTCGAAACTTCGATCAACGTCCAAGTACTACGTAGACACACATTGAAACATTTAAAACATTGTACGAACATTTTCCTTCGTGCGACAAACAGTGAATTATCAAGGAATTACCGGGGAATTATAGAGGAAAGATTTTTAAATATGTGCGTACTTTTAAATTTCGAAAGTATAGTATGAACGAAGATAAAAAATGTCAGAGAAAAGTTACGTGCAGCACCTTTTTATATCGATGATTCGAGCAATTACTTATTAATTAATAATCAATTGGTAAAACGATGTAGTAAAAAATTGTATTCCCTGTATAGAACACTCGACGATACATGACGCAGTCACAGATAAAAATAGGAACATCAAAGTCGGAATACGTCTTTACTATTACACTGTAATATTGCCGAATCGTTGATATCTGACTGTTATTGAACGCAACCAAACCTTGAACGTTGCAGATAATGCTAATAACACGAAATATCGAAGCTTAGTTGCTCGTTATTAGTACGCGATTTCAAACGATTTCAAACCATTTCGAACCATTTCGAACGATTTAACGCGATTTAAAATCATTAATTTTGTAAATACATCGAGATGCAGAACTTTTGACTCGTTGACTCAAAGTAAGTTATCCACAGGTATTATCTAAAAGTCTGATTGACGATTAAGGCGAAAAAACGAGATTCTGAAAGCTAGAATACCCTTTGCCCAACCTCTCATAAACGGTTTTCATTCGGTTAGACAGACGCGTTTTTGACTACATCCTTAACCAATTTTACATCGCGCCAATGACTCAGATGATAAAAGGCCTTGTCAACTTCTCCTTGTCACGCGCAAGAAACTTCTTTCCTCTTTCAAATGCTTTATCCCGTGCTAAATCTTGCTTCGCAATAAATTACGCTATTACCGGACCGAGGGCTTGTACCGACAATTTCGGCGGACATACTACCTTCCACCAACAAAAACAAGAGAAGCGACGATATCTTTTCTTTAGAGCTTCTTCGGAGCGACGAGCCTCCCACCTGCAACTTTCTCCGATATAACCAGGCACTTCCACCTTTTTCCTTAGTTGGTAAAAGAGCTGTTTATGCTCGACGGTGGTCTCGGAAGGACAGCGTCCTTATGTCCGTATGTCAATTGACAATTTTATTTCACGATATATTCGACGAAAAGAATACGATAATAATACGATACTATGCGTAATTCTTAATCAAAATGCTTAAATTTCCTTTCAAGACCTCCTCACAGGACCAGATCGTAATTTCAAGAATTAGGATAGGTCGCACAAAATTAATCTCCTCGTATATTTCGAAGAAATACGATGCTCCATTCGTGACGTTCGACGTGAAATTCCTGGTAATATACAGTTCGAACGATATACGAGAAAGATTTTCTTATCTTTTGCCGAGACTAACCAAACAAGGCGCTAGGGTAAACCGCAACCCTCCAGAAACATCCCACGACTACCGAGCCAGACAATTTCTAGAATTGATCATCCTGTATCCAAGTATTTTCTTCCCTTGTCAAGGAAAATATCGTTCCTTCTAAGGAAATCAACCGGCAAAACGTCCATAAAATGGTTCTATGTATTTCTGTTGGTTGTAAATGTTCCGGGAAAAAATAACGAAAGATCGTAAACATAGATCGTAGGATCATACATGTGCATATATATAGGAATTCTAGTTACAATTATTAATCTCTAGCTACTCCAATTATCTTAGAAACCCAGTATCTGTGTAACAGTGGTATGTAATATGTTTGCCTACAATGGCAATAAATGATTAGGCAATGATAAAAAGTGCATCAACATATACACATATACGCCTAAATTAAAGTTCATGGAAATTAACGATGTCATTGGTAGTTTATATCTAAATTTAGGAAATACCCAAGTGAATGAATTCTTATCGAAATTACGAATCAGAGAAAATATCGTCTAGCGTTTGGATTATTCGTTGCTCGCGTGGAATTTGCACGTTTCCGTTATTCGTTTTCGTCGTTGTCTTTATAGTTTCATCGCTGTGGACATATTTACGGACTAAATCGACTTTTATTCAAATTTTAAGAGTAAATATGACGATAGATCGCATGCGTAGCTTCTTAAACACTGTATCGTAAAATAGAAAGACGAAGCCGCGTTAATCAATGAAATTCTTCGTCTTCCGATCGGAAAAACGATATTTCGATCATCCTTGGTTGTTACTTCCGTCACTTCCGATCGACACAGCCCACTGTTTGTAAACATATTTCTGGAATGGCGCGCCGCTGAAGCGAACGAAGCCAAAGAACCGAGGCATCGCGTCGCTACGTATGCGCAAAGAAACGAAGAGAAACCGAGACGTTGGGCTTGTACCAGACAAGGAAGTGCTCGAAGAAGAAGAAGGGAGGGACAGGAAACGTGGTGAGACGTAGCGATGGGTGTAACTCGATTATCATTTCTGAATGTGCATCAGCCTCTACACCGTTGACGATCATTTAGCTCCATCGCAAACAGATTTTCCATTTGAAAGTATTTATCTAACGCATATGTATCGATATATCGCATGAAATATCCGAGCGATTACCAACGACGAACCGGACTATCGACGACTTAACAAATGAACGATGTAACGGTACATACCCGTGAAATCATGGGGATGACGGACGTCAGTTAACGAGGCCTTTTTTTTTTTTTTTTTTTTTTTTTTTTTTTTTTTTTTTCATATACGC